AAAAAAAAAAAAAAGAACAATTTCGAATGTTTGAGCACTATGAGAAGAATGGGGGAGAGATGGTTTGGTGGGAAGGGGAACAATTTCGAATGTTTGAGCACTACTAATAATTATTGCGTTCTTAATTATTTATTTATTTCATGTGAATCAGTTGCCATTCTCTATTGTACATTTTGACTTTACCACCACTCATTATACCACTCTTTGACACATTATCTCATCGTCCAATTATACTTAAAATTATAAGTTTATAACTCTACGGATTTGGAACATTATTAATGGACGAACCGTTTGTAGTGTTTCTGTAATATCTAATGATTGAATTGTTTGATAAAAGATGATAGAAGGAGTTAAATCTTGAAGTGAAAATTCTACAAGCATCATCATTTGACTATTGAGTACACACACGAAACAAAACCAGTCATGTCTATTTATATTTTTTTTTTTGGCACTACGCTTTAAATACTACCATGTCCCTCTATCTAGTCATATATAAACAAAACCAACCGTAATTGACGCTAGAAAAATCTCCTTTGTATACATTTTTTTTTCCAGAGCTTTAAGAAAGTAACGTCACAAAAATGTAGGGTCGTATAATACAAAATAGAAAAGTTGGTCATGTGCGTTGTGATAAAATAAAACAAATCGTGGATCCACTTTTAAAATCAGATTTGGGACAATCCATTGTCCCACCACGAAGTTAATAATAACAAAACAAAAGGAACCTATTGTGGTGGTTGTTCGTTACAGCATACGAATTAGCTCGAAAACCGTTACCAATATTATTATATATATTTTTTATAATGCAATGATTTATGCGTTGTGCGCACGAGATTGACCACCAATATTTCGTTTGCGTAAAATTATTATAGTAGTATAAGTTACACATTACTCGATTCAACTACAATCAATTATCCATGATGAAACTATACATATAAACAGTAGTAGTTATTATATAAAAAAAAAAGAGTGCTAGAATGTCAATATTTTTATTTTTATTTACAAAATAATCAACTAATTGGGGAATAGTAGTAAAAATTTCCTGAGACATGAGCTTGCCTTCTCTTTGGTTTCGATTTCCAATTTAAATACTTTCATTCCCGTTTGAATAGCTTTTTTGCAAATTTTCATCGACATTAGGTACGTATACTAAACGTGGCAAAAAAGTGCCTATGAGATTTGTTTACACAAGCCAACAAGTTTAGAAACATTAAATTACAAGATTTAAAAAAAACCAAGTCTAACCAATTGTGAAAGGAGGCATAGCTGATCAAGCTATTTCGTAAAGCCCATTAGAAAGGCCCAGTGCTTTAGTACCCAAACGAACGAGTCGAAGAACAAGAACCCTAAAAGGGGTAGTAACCAGATCTGAACCATTCCGATTTTTCAGTTGTGCAGAGACAACCAAAATTGCAAGAGATGGATTTTGCGAGCTCGTTCCTGTTTATGATGATGTTGTTGTTAATGGATTTGAGAAGAGAAGCAGATGATTCCGAGCATTTCTTTCTTTCCACAACTCATAGATCGAAGCTTGCCAGTCTGATCTCTCTCAAGAGGTAATTTCGATGCTTGTTACCTGTTGTTGTTAGAAGTGCATCAATCACATCTGACCAGACCATTGCAATCAGACCTTGATTCTGATTCCCGTTTGCAGAAGAGACAGTTTGTAGATATAGCATCCGGACACCGATTCAGAACGAAAAAGCCATGTCAGAGTTTGATGTTTGGGTATTCCTCTCTTAACCCAAACCAGTTGGCTCCAACTCTGCGGGACTATCATAAACCAAGTTTGGTCTTTACCATCCCATCGATTATCCACTCATCCTCGTCTGATAAGGCATCAGAGGTTTGGTGTCCACTCAAAGCAATGCCACAGTAGCTTTGATGTTTATACTAGTTAAAGCCTAGGAGCAGCTTCGGATCCCTGCCAGAATCTACAATTCCTCAGTACCAGGTATCGTCATAAACCATTCTTCAACTCTCTCTCTCTCTTAGTCTAAGCATTTGTTTGAAAATCCAAGTGTGTGTTTCTGCTTTTCCTTAAATTAGTGTGACGGTTTAGATTCATTAATAACCTTAGTAATCAACCATAGCCGCATTTTTCTAGAGATTAGTCAGTCTTTTTTCTTTTTCTTTTGGGGTGGCTCCACAACAACTTGAATATATAACTTGATGATACAATTCATGTTTATCAAACTCACCCGGATAATTCAAAAAAAAAATCTTAGAATCACCTTTACAAAGAAAGATAAGGCAAGTCAGAGTGCTTAACGGATTCCTCATCTCCTCCACAGAAGAGTCTGTGGGAGATTTCAACGGTCGAATCTCGCTTGAAATTATTACCAAACCACCCCTCTTTAGGTCCCCCTGACAGTGACACGCTGGATTGTGCGAAATCGACGCCTTAACTGTCGGTAGGTCCCATTTTCTAATTACCGTAAATAAAAGCATCGGCGTGAGTTTCTTTTCTTCCTTCCTCTTTCTCTCTATATAACAATTAACAAACAACTACACTGACATCAATTTCACACATA